CAAGCTCCTCGCAACCGTATATGATAAGAAGCGTTACGTCAGTAGGAGAGATAGGCCGGTTCTAACCCAGGGAGCTCCGGGGGGGGGAGCGGGGCCGGGGAGAATTTGCGGGGGGGGATGACGTCACAGGGGGTAACGGCCGAGATGTTTATATAAACATGGGCCATGTATGTTTACATAAACATTGATAGCGGCGGGCTCATTGAGTATAAACATGGGCCATGTATGTTTACATAAACAATGATAGCAGCGGGCTTATTGAGTATAAACATGGGCCTTGTATGTTTACATAAACAATAATAGCGGCGGGCTCATTGAGTATAAACATGGGCCATGTATGTTTACGTAAACAATGATTTCGCGGGACCCCGCCGCGCCCCCGCGTCGTCGCGGGCCGCGTTCTCGCGCACGCGGTCTCCCTCGCGCTCTCCCTCCCACGCGTTCTCGCTCCCACGCACGCTACCGTGCCGCTGCCATGCTTGCTCGCTTACGCGCACGCTGCTGCGTCGCCGCCATGCTTATGCGCACGCGGTCTCCCTCGCACGCTCGCACGCGCTTTCGCTCATTGCGCGTTGTCTCGCTCATACTATGTATGTTTCAGAAAAAAATGTACAAGTATATTTATGAATACATAGACCAATATATTATAAACACAAAAATGTAGTGATTACAAAAATATATATGAGAATCACCAGGAAGATATATAATTTTACAAAATATGTATAAAATAAAATATATAAAGTAAAGTCTCCCGTTTGGGAACGTTACATTCGCTTCCTGAAATGTTCCCTCGAACACCAGGGGGATCGTCGCGAATAACGCTTTCCGGGGGGATGCGAATGTCGGGATGAATGGCGTCCCCTTGATTTCGTAGGGAATTGCCTGTTCCTCCTGTCCCTTCCGTTCCTCCTGTCCCTTCGCCTCAAGGTGCGGGGGCGTTCGAAATTGCGGGAAGGTACGACGCCTCCTCGAATGTTGCGTTTAAAGGGAGGCACGTAGAAGCCTCCTCGAATACAGCGTCGTCTCGCGATGCGACGTTTGATGGCTCTGCGTTCAGGGTCGCTGCTCGCGGCACCGCTGCTTGCGGCACCGCTGCTCGCGGCACCGCTGATGTTCGCGCAGCAAAACACTGGGGGATCCTAATGACAGATGAATAAAACAATAAAAAAGGTATCTCTTTAGAGACAGATAGTCTCTAGATTAGTTATACTTACTCGTAAAATGC